ATGACTTACAACTTCCTGTGCAATACTGCCAGTCTACCTGGAGTACATGAGAGGCTGATATTCGTCACATTGGATACGGTAGCCAGAGATGAGCTCAAGAGGACTTGGCCGGATATTCGGCAATTTCATTGGCCCACTCCGAGTCTCTATGTGAGTCCGGTTCAATCTTTCTTTACGATTCAATTCTTTGCATTCTTGTTTTTTGCCCGTATATTCATTCTTGGCGGATTTCGCATGTCTACGTACAGCGCGATTGCCCTAACTTGGCGTTTTCGTCGCATTGAAATGCGCTGACCGTATAGTAGTTGCGAGTAGCCAGTTGACCGATTAAACGCTGTGCATAACACCGTATGCGCGGGTTTTGGGGGTTATTTGAGTGACTGATCTCTCGACCGCAGAGATTATCTAGTTTCCGGGGGTTCTGGCAAAATGAAATGTGTCTCGCGAATATGCGAGAGGATCGAGCTTTGATCTACAAACAAAAAATTTGCCATGAAGTAGTAAAGGAAAAGCGGGCAGAGTATTCTTATGAATACGTGAGATTTGGAGTGTTCATAATTCTCATTTTTTCAGAAACCGTTCAGTTTTGCCGAGGGACCTTATCAGACAATTTATCTACTTCGAGCCAATTTAGCTGTAGCCCTTCTAAGAAAGTGAGTTAGCAATTGATTTTTTTGTTTTTTCGTTTAAGCATTTTTTTGCATTGCATATTTGTATAATTTCTTACAATTTTTGCTTCTGAGATACCCCTCTTTCTTTTCGCACCTTTCCTGATTTCTAGGGGAATATGACTAGTCAGACACTTCACGATTTTTAATGAGCAATTCCCAAAACATTAATTAGTGAACTGAGATATCGATAAAATGGGTAGGTAGGTATCGATACTGTAGATTAGACGCCGGTAGTTAGAAATAAAGCGAATTAAACTTGAGAACCTGAAAAATAAACTTGCAAAACAGCTCTGCGGAAGTTTCCTTGAATTTAAGTCCTCGGGAATTTCTGCATTTTGCAGAACTTCCCGAGGGCTTCCTTCGGGAAGCCCTCGGGAAGTTCCTTACTGTGTTGCTTTTGACGTCAGCGTTCTCGGGAACTTCCTATTTTCACGGCTTTATTCACTTACATACTGAAGAAACCCTCCGGAAGTTTGGCAAACTAGCTTCCCCTCAGGAAGTTCCCGTTGAGTTGTCTGAGTAGTCATCCCTTTTTCTTCATCCGAGGCAATTCTGCCATAACTCGCCAAATTTCCCAATTTATGGGTTTACGACCGCAGAAAAGAATTGTGCAATTTTCTTTTTAGAGGCAAGTCATTCTGGATGATGCAGCAGGACACCTTTTGGCGCAAAAACCTTTTTGAACTCGGTTTTGAAGATAACACGTCATATGATGCCATTTTCGATCAGCTTGGAGTGGACGAGAAGAGCATGAGAACGAACTGGGTGAACGGTAATGCATCATGATTTGATTTTTTGTATCTTCGCTTTTTCAATTTCTATCTGTGATGGTTATCAAATCTGTGTCCCTATTGACCCGAATTCGCGTCCATAATGTGGATAGTCGATGATAATTGATTTTCGCTAGCGTGTCAAGGTTAATGCGAGTCTCTTTGACTTCAGTTGATCAATGTTTGCGTAAAGTGTGTGATCATTTTGGTATGGATATGGGGGTTGATTCGAGCTTTGAAGGGACCGGGTTGCTAACGTCAAAGCTCAGAATTTTTTTTGGCGAGTAAATCCATTATCTCTTAAGGTGCAAACTTCTTCATACGAGCCAACAACGATACAGTCAAATTTTTCGAGAGATTGTCAGATAAGCTGGCACATTGGTACACACCGGATATGGGTGTGATGATCCATCAATGTCATACTTGGAGTCGTCCTAAATGCGCTTATTTTCCTTATGAGTGAGTTTTTTGAATAGCTACTTATTTTTATGTTTTTTATTTTATTTTATGTACCAAAAAGCTCCAGACTTTCTTGCTTTGCAATTTGTTTCATGTGTTTTCAAATTTGTATAATTATAGATTAGCACATTCATGGGAATGGATGTATTCGGAACAGAAAAATCCACCTTATATAATGCAGCTGGACTGCGAGACAGGTAAAGAGGCATTTCGCTATGTTTTTGTATTTTTTCTAGAAAACGAAAGTCTCTTTGAAACTTTTCTTGTTTTTTGCGAAGCTCAACTGTATCTCTGAAGAAATTTCCGTGATTATACTATTCCGCGAAACATTTACTAGATGTTCGTTCAAATTGTGATCCCATTTTTTTATCATTTTAGATGGTGGATCAAAACTCATGCAGCTTGGAAAGTTCGGGTTCCAATTCATCGATAGCAACGGAACTTGCGACCACGAAAAGGTCTGCTGCTCTTTTTTCCTTGCCTTTCACAGACAGAGAGCTGCTGTGCGCAACGGGTTGTGTCCCATGTGGTCTAGTGGTTAGGATTCGTGGTT